CAAGGTTCCGAGGCCATTGAGGTCTCCAGCCACGACGAGGGCGACAGTGATAGCGACGAGGTCGAATACGTAGGGGGCAATATTCCGAACTTGTCTCCGGCCCACCCGAAGAAGGGTAAAGGGCGCGGTCGCAAACTCGCTAAGTCTTCCGGCGCGACCGCCACCTTCGACGACCAATACGTGCGCATGCCGGTTCGAACCTTCCGCGATCGCTCCCTCCCGCCAACGTACTTGCCGCTCTGGCAGAAGCCATCCATCGCGTGCTTGGTAAGTTCGCTCCTTTCTCTTTTCGTCGTTCGCTGCTAACTTCTTCTCCCTAGTGCCTATATTGCTTGTCTTCTGAGAAGGTCTCGCGGACGTGCACACTTAGTGAGTTCCGGCCGAAGTGTCGCAAATGTCATCGCGACCACAAGGCTTGCAAATGGTGGACTCGTGACACGGCCCCGGACGTCAACGATCCTGACGGCTGGCTCCCGCTAAAGAAGCTCTACCGTCGCAACGGCTGGTCGGTGCCCAAATCGCCTGAGACGTCGGTGATGGCGAAGGCTTCGCGCCACCAAGTTAGCTACGACCGGCAGATGCGCGACGCCAATACTGCTGGAAGCGAGAAGGCGACCGAGCTTGAGCTGCCGCTCGACACTCCCATCGACGAGTACGAGGTTGCGCTCGCCGAAGCGCCACGTCTTCGTAAGTCTCTATTCCCTGCTTCTGCATCATGGCTTTGGCTGAAACCCTCCAGTTCCGGTCAGCTCCTTGCCGGACACGCTTGAGACCGAGTCGGAGGACAACGATGCGTCCGACGTCGTCGTAGTGAAGCAAGAGAAGGACGTCGCGGGTCCTTCGCGTCGTGGCTTGGTTATTCCGCCGCCGCCGCGTGGTGCGTCTCTTCACACCTAATTGGTTTTCTGCTGACCGGTTTGCTAGCTTATCTCGGCCGTCCTCCCAAGCGTCCTCGCGTCGACGACTCTGATCCGGACGACATTATGATGCAGCACTTTCATGCCGGCACCATTGTCGTCCCCTCGACTTCAGTCCTCAAGCCGC